TCTCTGTCACCCAGGCTGGAGTGCAGTGGCATGCCCACGGCTACTGCACCTTCGACTTGCTGGGCTCAGGCAATCCTTCCACCTCAGCCTTCCGAGTAGCCAGAACTACAGACTCCCGCTATCACACCTGGCTAGACTAGCTACTTTGAAGAAGCTCTTGCTAGCTAAAGATGGGGCCGTTTGGTCATTGATAATAATACCAGCAGTGTATCTGAATCTATGAGTTCTTAATGATCTTTTAAGAACTTTATATCATTATTCTGAAAACCAGGAAAGAAAGAAAGAGGGAGGCATTTGTCTTAGCTTTCTTGTGCAGACTGTATTTGGGTCACTACTGAGCAATGTGGCTTAACTAAGGGTAGGTATATAGTTGATGAGTGAAAGATTTTTAAAAAATATGTATTGCTAGTGATAAAGAAGAATGATAAATTAGAATATCACCATTTTGTATACTCTGAATGAAATAATGAATGGACCTAGGCAATGCTCACCAATGGTCACTAATGTTACAAAAAGAATAGCAATTATATTCTATTATCTGCTGTTGGAAGTACACACATGCCCTCCAGAAGAGAACTCTAATTAAAGAAAACCCTAAATTTAATTATTATTTTACAGAAAATATATAGGACAGAGGAATATGTTAAATGGCATGCAATCAGCAATTCTGAAATGTGGGAAACTATAGGAAAAACTACCTAGCTTCTTCAGCAAATAAATGCAAGGTTGAGTAGAAGAGGGGCAATTTATAGTTTTTTGAAAGTGACTTGAAAGACATAACAACCACATGTGTGTACATCATGGTACCTTGTTTGGATTCTGATTTGAAAAAAACAACTGTAAAGAGACAATTGGGAAATGTGACTACTCTCTATTAGTTTTCTACTGCTATATAACATCTTACTCTAAAACTCAGTCTTAAAACAACACACATTTATTACCTTATAGTTTCTATAGGTTAGGAATCTAGGCATGGCTTAATTGAGTCATCTGGGACAGGATATCTCAACAAGGCTGCATTCAGGGTATCAATCAAAGCTGCAATCATCTTAAGGCTTCACTGAGAAGGAGCTGTTTCTTATGTGCTTGAATAAGAATTCAAGCACATAAGAAACAGCTCACTGACTGTAGGACTGCGGCCTTATTTCCTCTCAGACTCTTGATGGGAAGCCACCTTGTTTCTTGCTATGTCAGCTTCTCCATAGGGCAGTTGACAATGTGGCAAGCTGGCTTCCATCAGGGAAAAGAAGCGAGAGAATGGAAGAGGGAGAACAAGATGGAAGTCAGTGCCTTTTTGTGACCTAGTCTTGGAAGTAACATCCCAACATGTCTGCTCTATTCTGTTCATCAAGAGTCACTGGGTCCATACTCAAGGGAGGTGATTACACAAGGGCATAAATACCAGGAGCCATTTTATTTTATTTATTTTAAAACAGGATTTATTGAGAGGACAGAAAAGCTCCCACAGTGGGAGGGGACCTGAGGGAGCTGCCTACCAGGAGCCATTTTATATGGTGCTTACTACAGACTGCAAATTTAATAATACTAAGGAATTATTTACCTTTTTAGATGTGATACTTATGGTTATTTTTAAAGATGTAACTATTACAGTTATGTTTGAAAACAGTTTCTATCTTTTAAAGTTACATACTGAGATATTTCTACATGAAATAAATTAAGATGTCCAGGATTGGCCGGGCTCGGTCTCAGCCTGTAATCCCAGCACTTTGGGAGGCTGAGGCGAGTAGATTGCCTGAGCCCCCGGGTTTGACACTTGTCCGGGCAACTTGGTGAGACCTTGTCTTTATAATAAATCAAAAATTAGCCGGACATGGTAGCGTGCACTTGTAGTTCTGGCTACTTGGAAAGCTGATGCCGAAGGATCGCCAGAGCCCAGCAGGGCAATGCTGGGCTGGCCGTGAGCGTACCCCTGCACGCCAGCCTGAGTGACAGAGTGAGACTCCAACTCAAAAAAAAAAATATGTCCAGGATTAGCTTCAGAACACATTGAGAGACCCCCAGGAAGCAGAGGGAACGCAAGGGAATTATAGAGGGAAAAACATTGTCTGTGAACTGCTGATTGTTAAACCACAATGATAGATATAATATTGTTTCTTTTTTGTTGATGCTTGGAATTTTCCATAAAAGTAAAAAGAAAAATGAACAAGTAAGCAAACAAAAAAGGCTAAATGCCAAATTGTACGTTCATACTTTAGTATAGATGATTCAATATGACATTCTTGGATTCTGGAAAAAAATTTTTAATTTTAATTTCTGTTGTGGTAAACATAACACAAATCCGGTAGCATTAAATACATGTACATTGTTGTGCAAATATGGCCACCATTCACCTCCGGAGCATTTTTATCATCCCAAACTGACACTCTGTGACCATTAAACACTGACTCCCATTCTCTCCTCTCTATACCCATGGCAGCCATCTTTCTTTGTGTCGGTATGAATTTGACTACTCTTGGTGCTGCATATAAATGAAAACATGCAATATTTGTCCTTTATGTTGGGTTTATTTCACTGATAATAACTTCTTAATCATAACAATAACTTATATCTTCAGGATTCATCCACATTGTAGTATGTATCTGTATTTTCTTACTTTTTAAGGAAGAAAAATATTCCATTATATGTTGTTTCAGGAAAACTTTCTAAAACTGTTTTTCTCTGCTCTTACACTACCGCAACAAGAAACACAGAATAAGAGCAAATGTGGGGGCATGTTCCCATGTACCAAGCAGTGGACACTAGCTAGGTATCCTCAAATTCAATTCTGACACTGTTTACCTAGAGATAGGATCAGATCCCACAGGTTGAGGGCTCATTCCCACAAGACTGCTCTACCCTAGACATCAATTGCAAGTCTGGGCCACCGGAACTACTGACCGACAGGTTAAAGTTGGGGTTCCCATGACCCACCTCTTTGGGTTCAATTAATTTGCTAGAGTGGCTCACAGAACTCAGGGAAGCATTTATGGGTTCATTGTAAAGGATATTACAGAGGATACAGAGGAAAAGATATGTAGGGTGAAGAATGTGGGAAGGAGCTTGGAGCTTCCATGACCTCTCTGAGAGTGTCACCCTCCAAGAGCCTCCTTGTGTTCAGCTATCCAGAAGCTCTCTGAACCCTGTCTTTGTGGGTTTTTATGGTAGCATCATTATATAGACATGATTGATAACTGTATAGAAATGTGATTGGACAAAAAAGGGGATGACCTCATACTAACAGACTGAGCTGGGAAACCCAGCAAGACCTGTTTGTTCAGGTTCTTCTTAGCCTCTCTTGGCAGCATTTCTTTCTCCAGAGTATGAAGCAGGACCCTTTGACCCACAATCTGACTAGAGGTCCTTCCTTGGCAGGTGAAAAGGAAGGCAAGAGAGGGTTAGGGATATTCTGTTTCCTGAAGCTGTAAGTGCCCAAACGTTATTAACAAAAGACTGCAACCAGGGCTATGAGAGTTATGAGCCAGGAACTGTGGATGAAAACAATATATAATATCATAATGCCACATATGTATAGACTATTTTATTTATTCATTCATCCACTAATAAATGTTTGGTCTGTTTCTCTCTTTTGGCTATTGTGAATAATGATTCTTTGAATATGGGTATACGAAGGTCTATTTGAGTCCCTGTTTTCCATTCCTTTGTGTATATACCCAGAAGTGGAATTGTTGGGTCAAATGGGAGTTCTATGTTTAATTTTTTGAGGAACTTCCATATTGTTTTCCACAGTGTAATATGCCATGGTAAGTATGCAACCAGACAGATTTACATAGGTATCTTTTCTATTTTAGAAACCTTTCCAGAGCTGGACATGGTGACTCACACCTATAATCCTAGCACTTTGGGTGGCTAAGGTGGGAGGATTGCTTGAGCCCAGGTGTTCGAGACTAACCTAGGCAACTTAGTGAGACCTTGTCGTTACAAACAAATAAAAAAATTAGCCCGGTGTGGTGGCACTCACCTACCGTCCCAGCTACTTGGTAGGCTGAGGCAGAAGTATTGCCTAAGCCCAGGAGGCCGAGGCTGTGGTGAGCAGGGAGGTGCCACTGCACTCTAACCCGGACAACAGAGTGAGACCCCGGCTCAACAACAAAAATAAAACAAAAACAAAAAAAGCTTTCTAGAATTAAAAAATGAGCTAAAGCCGGGCTCGGTGGCTCAGCCTGTAATCCCGCGCCTTTGGGAGGCTGAGGTGAGTGGATTGCCTGAGCCCGCGGGTTCGAGACCCACCTGGGCAGCGAGACCTCATCTCTACAATAAATCAAAAAATCAGCCGGGCGTGGTAGCGCATGCCTGTAATTCTGGCTACTCGGAAGGCTGAGGCGGAAGGATCGCCGGAGCCCAGCAGGTCGAGGCTGCGGTGGCCGGGAGCGGCCACTGCACTCCAGTCTGGGCAACCGAGTGAGACTCCAACTCAAAAAAAAAAAAACCAAAAAAAAAAAAAAAAAAATGAGCTAAAGACTTGAATAGACATTTCTGCAAAGAGGAAATGCAAATGACCAAGAAGTACATAAAAAGATGCTAATCAGCATCACTAATCATTAGGGAAATGCAGGTCAAAACCATAATGAGATACTACTTTCATACTGATTAGGATGACTGTTTTAAAAAATGAAAAATTAAGTTTGGTGCTGTCTCTCACTCCACTTTCCTAGCTACTTGGGAACCTGAGGCAGGAGGATCACTTAAGCCCAGGAAGTCGAGGCTAATGAACTATCCTTATGCTACTGCACTCCAGCCTGAGTGGCAGAGTGAGACCCTGTCTCTAAAAAAATAGTGATTTTTTTCCCTCGTCCCCCAAATATTAAAAAATAAGAACAAGGTATTTGTAAAAATGATCATGACTGTTTACATGAGTCTTTATTTTTCATCTTGAAACATTTTTAATAAAAGTATACACTGAAATAACACTTTGAAATAGAAATATGAGTAGTGGTGTGCCTAAGAATTTTAACTAATTTAGGCATAATAAAAATGACAAAATGCTAGTCTTTAAGAAATATAGTAACAATCTACCTTCTTTTTTGGTGTTTGAAAGGTTGCTCTTTGATCAAGACGCATCTCTTAGATCTGAGCTCAGTCTGCATCCTGATATAAGTGGAATGTGCAAAGGTGAGAGTGATTCTTTTCACTAAATAGTCCTTTGATATCCCAAGTACAGTTAAGACCTCACTTAATGTCGTTGATAGATTCTTGGAAACTGCAACTTTAGGCAAAATGAATTGTAAGGAAACCAATTTTACCATAGGCTAATTGATATAAACTAAAGTTCACATATACTATAGCATATTTGTGGTCACAAAAAATTACCAGATTTCTAAATAAAGACCCAAACACTTGTAATGTTAAAATGTTGAAATAAACGTGAGCTGTACACACATTTAAGCAAAATTAATGTAAACAGGTAAGATAATTATGTACTCAGTCATTTCAGTTCCGGGTTGCAGGTGGCTAGTGCCTGTCCTAGCAGCCCAGGGTGCAAGACCGGATCCAGCCCTGAACAGGTGCCATCCCATCACAGGGTGCACTCACAAGCGCTCACCCACTCATACTGGGCCCGTTCAGACACATCGGTGAACCTAATGTACACATCTTTGGTATACAGGAGGAAACCCACACAGACATGGGGAGAACATGCTAAATTCCACAGATGGTGGCCCTGGCCAGGAATTGATTTTTTTTCTTGTCAGCATTGAAATGTTATTTGAGTCCAGTGGGGTGTATTTCCATTCCATAACTTCTCTTTTTATATTTAGTCTTGTTCTTTAGTTTTATACAGAGTTTCTTATAGGTATCTGTGCTACACCATAAGGTCTACTCATTAGGTAACTAATGTATATATACATTATAATCAAGGGTTGCAAAAAAAATGTGTACACATTTTAAGAGATGTTACCTAGGTATTACTTTTTTCGAAGTTGCATTGAATTACAGTAGCAATATGTAGTATGTTTGCTCAACTGTGCTTCCTCCGTTTTCTTTGACTGTCCTGCCTATCTCATGATGACAATAGCCTTCATTTGATTAATGCCACCTTTTGCGTGAACATCATACTTAAAATGTATATACATTTTTTCAGCACCCTGTATATATGTAATATATGTATATATATACAGATGGTGCCAAAAATGTGTGCATATTTTAAAATTAATTTTTTGGTTTATTTTAAAGATGTGGGGTACAATTCAGGGTTAGGTATACCAGTGTTTATTATGCATGTACCCTTGTTGATGAGGTGTGCCTCCCTGGCAGATACCCACTACTGCCAATCCTGCCCCTGTCTTCCCCTGGCAGTTTCCCACTGCTGCCAATCCTTTTCTTATAGTATTATGATAATTGTTCAAGGCTTGCTTATGAGTGAGAACATGTGATACTCAGTTCTTTGTTTCTGTGATAGATCACTCAGTATTATAGATTCTAAGTCCATCCAAGTTGCTGTGAAATCCATAATTTTGTCCTTTATGGCTGCATAATATTCCATCATGTATACATACCACATTAAAAAAAACTTTGACATATATATTACAAATAGTTTTACCCAGTTTCCTTGTTATCTTTTATTTATTTATTTATTTTTTTGAGTTGGAGTCTCACTGTCGCCCAGACTGGAATGCGGTGGCCGCTCCCGGCCACTGCAGCCTTGACCTGCTGGGCTCTGGCGAGCCTTCCGCCTCAGCCTTCCGAGTAGCTGTAATTACAGGCGCGCGCTACCACACCTGGCTAATTTTTTGATTTATTGTAGAGATGAGGTCTTGCTGCCCAGGCGGGTCTCAAACCCGCAGGCTCAGGCAATCCACTCACCTCAGCCTCCCAAAGGCGCAGGATTACAGGCTGAGCCACCGAGCCTGGCTTCCGTGTTATCTTTTAATATTATTCATGGTATATTTTATAATGAAGACATTTCAAGTTTTTGTATAGTCTGTCAGTCTTTTAGGGTTTGCTTTTTTTTGTCAAATTTAGAAAGACTTCACCTACCTCAAAACCACACAAATACATTCTTTTATCTTTATTTGCGTTTATTATATTTATAGCTTTTTACCTATTTTTAATTCATTTGGAATATTGGCATATGGGAAAGGTAGGGCTCTATCTTTACTTTTGCAAATGTTTAGCCAGTTTTCTCTATATTATTTATTGAATATTCTATCTTATCCCTGCTGCTTAAAATGCTGTTGTTGTCATATGTTAAATTCACACACACACACACACACACACACACACACACACACACACACACACATACATATAGTTTTCCACTCTTTATTTTGTTTCATTGATCTATTTGACTATTTTTGTGCCATCATTACATTTTTTTTTCATCTTTAGCTGTTAGTGCACTTAGTATAACTGGTAGGGAAGATCTACACAGAGTAGCTGGTGACAGCATACATCCTAACCTTTTTTGGTACAAACAGTAAGTTCAGTGCAGTATGAGACTTTAACCACTATGTACTTCCAGTTTACCCTCTTTGAGCTTTAGTTGGTGGGATTTTCTTTGAGCTGGGTAGGTGGTGAAATTCTGACAAATGAAATTCCTGTAATTACTTCTAAGGGAGACCCTCCTATTCTTGTGTTGAGTGACAAGCTGTGTCTTAGTTAGCTTGGGTTGCTATATCAAAATACTATAGACTGGGTGACTTAAACTAGAGACAATTATTTCTCACAGTTCTGGGGGCTGGGAAGTTCAATCCTTAGTAAGGACCCAGTTTCTAGATTGCAAAGGACTGCTCTATTGTTGTGTACTCACAGGACTTCTTTTCTGTGCTCTCAGAAAGAGCACTCTGGTTTCATTCCCTCTTTTTGTAAAGGCATTACTCCCATGAGGGATTATGAGGGCTCTACCCTCAAGACCTCATCTAAACCTAACTACCTGCTAAAGATGTCGCCTCCTGCCATCATCACATTGGGGGCCAGGGCTTCAAGCCATGCATTTGAGTGGTGAGGGACAAACATGTGGTCCATAACAAACTGCTTACCACTGTTTGGGTTTCCTTTAATCCATTCCCCCTCTTTTTTCTTTTAACTTATAGGGGATATGTTACCCCCTCCCCCCCTGCCTTGCTGCTTCAGATTAAAGAAAAACTAGTCATTTCTTTGAATATTTTTCTAGGAACTTGGAAGGGAAGAGAAGTTAAAATATGAACTAAATTTGGCGTTTTGAAAATAAAACTCCGGTTGTTTTGGATTATATGGTAATGTCATTTAAAATGACCTAGAATGAAGTTTACAAAAGGAAAGTTTTCTTTCTCATGGAATTTAAGTCTGTGTAATTTCTCTGCATAGCTTTGCTTTCTTCATCCATCCTACAACAAAGAAATGTCAAGTATTATTTTGTTCAGTGTGATATGTGTTTCCTCCTAATTAATAATTTTAAAACATTAACACATAAAAGTGGCAATTAAAAATTATATACAGGATGATGCTTAATGACATTTTGCAGTGTTTATAAAATCCATTGGTCATTGTTAGAGCAGAGCAGTAAAACTGATGCAAATGATTTATGATTATATTTTATTCTAGGTGTGCCTTCTCCTGAAATTAAACTTGAGTTTAAGCTCTCAGAGGATCCCCAAGAACAAATGAATAAAAATAAGATGATGCCTGTTCTTAGTGAGGATACAATATTACAGGTGTGTAGCGTGTTGATTGCATACATACTTATTAAAAATTGGAAATACTATCTCTCAAACTGGCAAATTACTAATGATAATTCTTTATGTTTATTTTATTTCTTCTTTTCTTATTCAGTTTTTTACCTATTTCCTAGGCAGTCATTCGTATTTCTTTGCTGCAACTTTGATGAAAGCTAGTTGCTTAGGAGAGAAGATTTAAAATACAATTAACCCTTGAACAATTCAGAGGTTAGGGGCGCTAACCTCTTGCACAGTCAAGAATCTATGTATAACTTTTGACTCCCTGAGAATGTACCTATAAATAGCCTACTGTTGACCAGAAACCTTACTGATAAACTGTTGATCAACACGTAGTTTTGTATGTTATTTGTATTATATACAGTATTTTTACAATAAAGTAAGCTAGAGAGAGAAAAGGAAATGTTGTTAAGAAAATCATAAGGAAGAGAAAATATATTTACTGTTCATTAAGTGGAAGTGGATCATTTTGAATGTTTTCTTCCTCATTGTTTTCACATTGGGTAGACTGAGGAGTAGGAAGAAGAAGGATTGGTCTTGCTTTCTCAGGTGTGGCAGAGGTGGAAGAAAATTCATGTGTGAATGAACCCACTTAGTTCAAGCCCATGTTGTCCAATGGTCAATTCTATTTCCTTTTTTCCTCCTTTTATGCCTCTTATATTCTTCTTTTTGATAGAGAGGTAGCAATGAGAAGAACAGAGGTTAAATTAGAGTATAATAAAGTATATAAAAAGTGTATACAGAGTATATAAAGTATAATTTTCACCTCCGTTTTATGTCAGAGATCATCTTAAACTTGTGAAGAAGCTACTGGTCTGTACAGTATAATTTCAGATATGTGCCACTAAAAAGTCAACTTCTATTGTCCTATATGTGTGATTATGTGTTTGTACACACACACACACACACACACACACACACACACACACACACACATCTTTCTTTTTTTTTTTTTTTTTTTTTTTTTAGTTGGAGTCTCACTCTGTTGCCTAGGCTGGAGTCCAGTGGCATATTCAAGGCCATTGCAGCCTCCACCTGCTGGGCTCAGGTGATCCCTCCACCTCAGCCTTGTAAGTAGCTGAAATTACACGTTACCATGCCTGCCTAATTTTGTGATTTATTATAGAGATGAGGTCTCACCAAGTTGCCCAGGCTGATCTCAAACCCCTAGGCTCAGGCAATCCTCTCACCTTGGCCTCCCAAAGTGCTGGGATTACGGGCTTGAGCCACCATGCCTGGCCACACACACATATCTTAAGAATTTTTATTTATTTGTTTATTTTTAATGCAAACACCACGAGGAAAAGTAAGGTATAGTTTCAGTAGGTAGGTTGGCATCAGTAAGTTAACTAATTAGAAATACCTACATAGTCTTAAGCAATGGAAGGAAAGATACTTACGTTTTAATAGCAGAAACTGATAGCAGTTCCAGTAAGTGACTGTGAGGGTCTGTTTAATATCATACATAGAAAAATGTAACCCCTGATAAAAAGAGAAAAATTCAACACCAGACATTTTTTTCTTGAAACTGAGATATGTATAACTGGCTTCTAATAAGTTATTTTAAAATTTTTTTGGTAACTGCTGAGTTAAGAAAAAAGAACATTTATTCCCCTTAGTTTCAGTAACTGTGAAATAGGAAGTAATCATTATTTTTTCCAGTTTATTTCAGAAGCGTTTGCCATGTGATTATTGTCTTAAAACATGGTTTAAAAAACTTGTTTATCAGCTTTTTAAAAATATGGGTTCTCACACACCTGCTTAGGTGGAACCTGGGAATGTCTATTTTTTGAAAGCCTCAAAGTGATTTCTCGTGTTTAGTCAGCTTGGGACAATTGCCTTAGAGGACTTGAAGAATACATTATAATTAATTATCTCAATGTCTAAAGAATATACTATAGTTTATTTCACTGTTTCATTAGTGTTTAATATTTATCTTGTTTACACTTTCTCACCATTATAAATAATGTTGCAATAAACATCATTGTACTAACAAAATTATTATAAGATAGTAAACTAGCCATCTGCTGATTGTAGGCTTGTTGTAAAATTAGAATAAAAAGGATAAATGAAGTACTTGGGATTAGCTCTTTTTTTTACTTTCTTTTTTTTTTTTTGAGTTGGAGTCTCACTCTGTCGCCCAGACTGGAGTGCAGTGGCCACTCCTGGCCACTGCAGCCTCGACCTGCTGGGCTCCGACAATCCTTCCGCCTCAGCCTTCCAAGTAGCTGTAACTACAGGTGCACACTACCACACCCGGCTAATTTTTGATTTATTGTAGAGATGAGGTCTCGCCAAGTTGCCCAGGCGGGTCTCGAACCCGCGGGCTCAGGCAATCCACCCACCTCAGCCTCCCAAAGCGCGGGATTACAGGCTGAGCCACCGAGCCCGGCTTTTACTTTCATCAGTAAAACAAATATCTCTTTTTCTTTTATATCTCTTCTTTTGTCTGCAGTAAAAGTTACACAATGTAACCCAAGTATTTAAACATCTGTAGTAAATTTTGATTAATACGATTTTCTAAATTGACAAGTGTTTCTACTTTCATCCAGTTTTAAATTTTATTCTATTAAAATAAGCATTTTGGAATTTAACTATATGAGAGAAATTGGTTTTATCAGATAAAGAAATGGAGATATCCAAAAGGGTACTTTCCTAGGATTATTTTTTTAATGTTTTGCAACTAGAATCAGATTTCAGAATAAATTCTTAGTGAATACTAGACAGATTACTATGTAAGTCCTTCCTAAAATTCAGATGCCAATATCAACATTTCAACTTCAAAGAAGACTGTTTAGCCGGGCTCGGTGGCTCAGCCTGTAATCCTGTGCCTTTGGGAGGCTGAGGTGAGTGGATTGCCTGAGCCCGCGGGTTCGAGACCCGCCTGGGCAACTTGGCGAGACCTCATCTCTACAATAAATCAAAAAATTAGCTGGGTGTGGTAGTGCGTGCCTGTAGTTCCAGCTACTCGGAAGGCTGAGGTGGAAGGATTGCCAGAGCCCAGCAGGTCGAGGCTGCAGTGGCCGGGAGTGGCCACTGCACTCCAGTCTGGGTGACAGAGTGAGGCTCCAACTCAAAAAAAAAAAATGTAGGCAGCAATCCAAAAATAATTAATACTCATCATTTTTATTGGATCCCATAATATCTTTCCTAGTTCTTTGCATGTGCAGTATGGCAAGCAATTTTTTAACTTTTCATGGATAAGCTTTTATTTTATCTGGAGTGTTTAGTGATGTGTCTGGTGAGATAGTTGGAGACATTGGTGTCTATCAATATTAGGGGGTATGATGGTTAATTTTATGTGTCAACTTGGGTGGGTCATAGGCATCCAGATAGTTGGTCAAACATTATTCTGTAAGGGTAATTTTTGGATGAGATTAACACTTAAATCAGCGGACTTGAGTAAAGCGGTCTGCTTTCCATAATGTGGGTGGGCCTCATCAGTTGAAGACCAGAATAGAAGAAAAAGTTCTGCCTTTCTCAGCATGAGAGAATTTCAAACAGACTGCCCTTAGATTTCATCTGCACCATCTGCTTTCCTGAATGTCGTCCTACTGGCTTTCAGATTTCATCTGGACCATTGGCTCTCCTGGTTCTCGGTCTGCTGACCTGTAGAACAGAACTCTACCATTGGCTTTCTGGGTCTCAAGCCTGACAGCCCACACTGCAGATTTGGACTTGCCAGTTTCCATAATTGTGTGAGCCAATTTTTTATTGTAAATCTCTTTCTACATTTGTACATATCCTATTGGTTCTATTTCTCCGGTGGACCCTGACTAATACAATGAACATCATTGTTCTCATCAGTTTTTGGTGCTCTGGAAGATACTTTTTAGATAGGGAATAATGATTAATTCAATCCTGGACTTATTATCACCAAGTCACTAGAAAATGGAATTTCAAATGACCATTTCATCATTTAAGAATACTGAAGCCAGCCGGCCACGGTGGCTCAAGCCTGCAATCCCAGTACTTTGGGAGGCCGAGGTAAGCAGATTGCCTGAGCCCCCGGGTTCGAGAACAGCCTGGGCTACTTGGCGAGACCTCATCTCCACAATAAATCAAAAAATTAGCTGGGCATGGTAGTGCATGCCTGTAGTCCCGGCTACTTGGAAGGCTGAGGCAGAAGAATCACCTGAGCTCAACAGGTTGACGCTGGGGTAGCCATGAACGTGCCCTGCACTCTAGCCTAGGCGATGGAGTAAGACTCCAACTCAAAAAAAAAAAAGAATACTGAAGCCATGTACAGATGGTCCTGTGTATGTCCAGGTGAAACCTTCTAAAAAGCAATCTTATGAATATTTGAAATATTTAAGAATATCTGTATACAGGTAGATAACCAATTTTGGGTGCCTCAATTTGAAAACAAGTTATTTTAAGCAAATGTTGCCAGCAGTTCATCAAGGTACTTAAAATATTTATTGAATATCAGTAATGGGTATTCTGTTCTAAGAATGCAAAGGGAATTCTAAGTATGAGACATCCAGTGTGTCGTGTAGAGCCAGAGCTGGTTGGGCCGATATGACTGGTCAGACTTCTTTCACTTCCCTCCCAGTAATCCATGACTCTGAAAGAGAATTGTTCCAAGGTAGTAGGAGATTGTTTTTTGCTTGAGGATATAGACATAGATTTGCTTCTTTTCTAGATCCTTTAAATGAACACAATTAACTTAAACTCTCTCATTTCTCACATCCTAACTTCAGCAAATAAAACAACAACAACAAAAAAACTCTACAGTTTAATGGGCTGGCCAAAATACAAGGAAGTAAGGGCAGGACAAAATGCGGTCACATGTATCAAAAAAATAGATAGCAATTTATGTCCCTTATGAAAGAATTGAATGAGGTATATTCTTGCATATTGTTAATTAACAAATGAACAGCTTTAACCCCCACCCTATTCAGTGGCATTCACTTTTGGGTGATGGTTCTGACTACAGAGGAGGCGGAAAAAATCAGCTGCCAGGATAGACTTTCTTCTTACTTGCTTCCTTACCTTTTGCACTTATGTAGGTAGGGTCAAGTAAATGATTAGCCCTCAACAGGAAAAGTCACTGGTCCTTTAGTGAATATTACAGATACTTGAAAGACTTTGTGGAGATGCAGATAAAGCTAATAAATATATATGTGTACCCTGTTGAATTAATCATTGGTCGTTTCTAGATTTAGCTCTTGACATTCCTTCTTATCTCTGGGCCTCTGATCTTTGTAAAGCCTGTTTGAGAAGTATATACAAGTGGATCAATGTAACTTTGAGGTGTATAGGTATTAATTATCAATAACAGTGAGCACTAATTGGCGAAGATTGGAGTTTTCACAGTGCTTTATTTGTGGACTTTTAAAAAAATATGGTTGTGCTAGTGTGATCTCTAAAATGCTTGCAGGTTCAGGCTAATGGCTTCATTTTCAGAAAGCTTCATTATTGATCATAGCAATAAGCACAGAGAGCTCCCAAAGAGAGATCTTTTTCTAAAGATCTTTGATGCAACAACATATTGGAGGTAAGGATTCCTTGTAAAATGATGAAAGCCAATATACCATGCAGTCTTAAAATGGAAGCATATTATCAGTGCACTTTATGTTTTTTGAAAGGGGCACAACAACTTCATATTTTCTGTTATGACTTGAGAATTAGGCAGAATCAGTTTAGCATTTAAAATTAACACAGAAGTATAATTTTTCTGGTTTTCAGGGGAAATACTAGAACTCAGAACCTGGCAAGAATCAGATTTATGAAGGAAAAAAAACCAGACATAAGACAAACGAACACTTCCTTTTCTGTTCACTTAAGTGCTACAGATTTTTTTTTAATAGAAAGGAATTAAGACAAAGGCATAAGAGCCGAAACTATAAAACTTTTAGAAGAAATCATAAGGGAATAATATTATGACATTGTGTTTAGTAATGATTTCTTGGACTTAACACCAAAAGCACAAGTAACAAAAGAAAAAATAAAGTTAGATTTCATGAAAACTAAAACTTTTGAGTATCACAGGGCACTGTCAACAGTGAAAAGGCAGCCCATGGAGTGGAAGGAAATATTTGCAAATTACATGTCTGATAAGGGATTGATATCCAGAACATATAAAGAATTATTACAACTTAACAGCAGAAAAAAGCAAACAACTGAATTTAAAGATGGGGAAAGACCTTGAATAGACATTTCACCAAAGAAGATATGCAAATGGCCAATAAGCACGTGAAAAGATGCTCAATATGACTAATCATTAGTGAAATCAAAATCAAAATCAAAATGAGATATCACTTTATGTTCATTAGGATGACTTATTAAAAAATAAAAATAAAAAATTACAAGAGTTGGCAAGGATGTCAAAAAATTGGAACCCTGTGCATTGCAGGGTGGGAGTGTAAAATGAGGCGGCTGCAGTGGAAAAACAGTAAGGCAGTTCCTTAAAAAAATTAAGCTTAGAATTACCATATAATCCAGCAGTTCCACTTCTGACTGTGGACCCAAAAAAGTAAAAGCAGGAACTTAAGGAGATATTTGTACAGCCATGTTTATAGCCACATTATTCCCAATAGCCTAAAAAGATAAAAACAACCCAGGTGTCCATCAACATACAGTTCAGTAAACAAAATGTGGTACATACGTACAATGGAATATTATTCAGTCTTAAGAAGGCAGGAAGTACAGATACAGTCCACAACATAGATGAACCTTGAAGACATTATACTAAGTGAAATAAGCTAGTCTCAGAATGAGACTATGATTCTTCTTATATGATGTTCCTAGGGTAGTCAAATTAATAGAAACATAGTAGGGTGATGGCTGCCATGGGTGAGGGGAGAGGGGAATGTGGAGTAAGTGTTTAATGGGTATGGAGTTTCAATTTGGGAAAATGAAAAAGCTCTGGAGGTGAACAGTGGTCATGCCTGCACACGTAAATGTACTTAGTGCTATAGAACTATGTACTTAAGAGTGATTAAGAGAGTAAATTTTATGTGTATTTTATCACAATTAAAAAAAAAGAGAATAAAACAAATGTTATTTTTTTTAGCTTGTTGCATTGGATTAATATTCATCAGTTGGATAAACTTTTTTTCCCCTAGCAACCTCAAGATGAAACAGAACAAAATCAAGCTCTGTTACTGTAAGTATACTAATTTTTGTCTTTGTTATAGTGTAGGTCTTTTTGGTCATATTGCACATCTGAGTTTTTAAGGGTTTTAGAATCATTGTATATTTTTGAATAATTGTCCCTTTGAATAATTGCTGCAAATATTTGTAATTGCAGCATAAATAATGTTATTTTACATACTAGGTAAGATTCCGATAATAAGAAAGGTTGGGCCAGATTAAGGTAAGTTGATGCTCTATTTATTAATATTATTTGAAAAGTCAATTTAAAGTATAGCATGAAGATACACATTGACTAAGGGGTTGAAAAAATTAAATACATACACAAATAAATAAAAGCACAGCATGAAGGAACAATTTTTATAGCTTATTGAAATTAGATTTCATACAACTATTATACTTTATACTATTATACTTTAGAGACTATCCTTTCAGTTCTTTTAAAACAGTGGTTCTCATGGAACCGACCGTGCTGCCCATCAAAAGAGGACTGGATAAAAGAAATGTGGTACATATATACAATGGAACATTATGCAGCCATAAAGAAGAACAAAATCATGAACTTCACAGCAACCTGGATGGAATTAGAGTTTATAATACTGAGTGATCTCTCATAGAAACAACG